CCCCTGCCCCTAAATGCATGGTGAGACTAGGGTTGGTTTGCTGAGATGTCAGGGAAGGCCTCTCCTCTTTGGAGTGCCTGAGAGACCACCTTCAGGGGTTTTTTCACAGAACCTGCTAGGACACCCTCCATCACCTTGCCCAGCTCAAATCAGTTACATAAAGGCCACAGCGCCATAAATCCTGGCTGCGTTTTGCTTTAGCAACATTGGACAACACAAGAGGGGATCTGACGTTTCCTTTCTCCTGTTGCCTTTTCCCGCCCAAAAGGCAGAATGAAGGTCAAGCCTCCTTTGACTTCAGTTCAACTTGGTGGATACCCCCAGCATGGAGGTGGCTTCCATTCCTCCCTCCCACCTTGCGGGGGGCAGTGTGTGTGCAGTTGGGCAGATGAATCACATCAAAGAGGGAAGATTTGCATCCCAAACTAGTTGGCTGCTCAGGGAACTGGGCTGGTAGCCCTCTCTTTAGGGGCAACTGTAGTACTGCTTGAGATCATCCCCCCTTAGGTCTCTGCAGACCAAGAGGCTGTTGTGCCATTGCAGGAAAGCAGGTATCACTGCCCTTCGAGCCACTCAGGCTAGTGTTGGAGAATAGGACAACAAGGGGGAAAGGGGATTTGTGCATAAGAGTAGCAGAATATAGTCACAGGCCTTCCTGAATTTTGGAGCATCCCAGGATGCAAGAACTACCACTGAAAAGGCCCTCCTGGAAGTGAAGTCAAGATGGCCTTCTGATGGCCACCAACCCATCCTCTAATAGCAAATGTGGATGGTTTGGAGTCAATCTGAAGTAGTAGAGAGTAAGGAGGATGACCTTGATGGAGATGTGCAAGATCCTCCATCAAGGTCATTTTCCTTACTCTCTACAGGAGTCACGTAAAAGGAAGATCTCCCCCCACCTCCATTAAATCCTTGTCCACCATGGCCATCAAAAATAATCTAATCTTTACAAGTTTTCAAGCTATTAAGTGGATCTGGGTGGGGTGGGGTGCCCTAAAAGGGTGGTGGCGGTGGCTGTAATTCCTTTCAGCAACCAGAGCTACCTTTTCTGGCAGATATTCTTGACCCCCTTCTTGCTTTCAAAAGAAGGCCATGTGTCTGCGTTCCACCCCAATGGTACTGTATAAAAGCTGGTGCCAAGCCAGCCTCGGGGCTGTGTCTCAAGGCCTTCTGATGCCAAGAAGTAGTTCCTTGCAGCAGCACTTGGACCACATGTTGGCAGCCTTTTTGCCAGCAGTTCCCATCCTCCCCCTAACTGAACCTGGAGGGAGGGCTGAAATGGGCCAGAAACTGGGACACCTAGCATAACTGAGTCAAAACAGAAGCTGCTGAGACAGACAGGCTTCTCTTTGGGCTGACAAGAAAGGTGCTCAGATGAAGAGATGGGAGAAGAAAAGGTGGGGTTTATGCTGCCCTGACCACCTGGATGCTGGGCCAGTGATGAGTTCCTGGGCAGATGCACCATCTCTGCTTCTGCTCCTGAGCATCTACAGGGCCAAGTCAAACCACTTTCTGCCATGGGAATGTGTACCTTCCTCTCTTTCTATCCAACCCTGCCATGGTTTGTACTGTGGAACAAGTTAAAACGGAGCCCTTCCAATGGTGAATCATCAAAACTGTGGATTTGAATGAGTAACAAACACCTAACGGCCCCAAGCTGTCATAAAAGAGGCATCAGATCAAACAGATATTAAAGCCACTTATAAACCCCCACCCCCACACAATCTAGTCTTTGCTCAGGGAAAGGTGTCATTGAATAAGCCCATCAGCAGGAGGAACTGGGCAGAGGAGAACATTTTCAGCTGGAAGCCCTTGGGTTTCTCGTGCCCGGCCTGGGGCCTGGGCATGTAGGGTGAGGATTCTGCCACCCACGATGGCTGACGTGGGCCCATGGGCCTTCTGCTGGTGGCCTGGGGGCAGCAGTCACCAGGATGCTTCCATCCCCTCTGGTGTCCATCTTCCGTGGCTCTCTCACTTTTTGTCTCAGAAAGTCCTCCCAAGCCCTCCCCTCTCCCCTCCTCTTTTCTCTGCCAGCCTTGTCCTGCCTCAGTCCTGGATATTGGGCAGTGCTGTTGCTCCCCAGCAAAGGCAAATAAACATCCCTCTGCTTGCCTAACCTTTGACTCTGACCACGCAGCCTGTGTCTCCTGGTGCCTGCTTGGTGTAGGGGGTCATTGGGGGTCATCTGTGCTGGAAAGAGCTAAGAAGAGGTTTGGGAAATTATTGGCCCTGGAAACACAGGCTCCCAAGAACAGACAGCTCTGAAGATTTGGGAATGCAGGGTCAGAGCTGCAGAGGAACTGAAGTACCAGTTGGGCAGAGCCGTTTCTACAATGGGCAGGAGCTCCCTGCCCCCTCTATGTTTTCCATCGTGAAACCATCTCTCTGGGCCACACAGTTCTTGCTCAGAGCTGATTGTGGAATCAAACCTGGATTCCAAAAGGATGCAAAGAAGAGTGCAAAGTGATTTGCACAGGAGTGTTCTGGATTCGTTTCAGTTAGCATTGGACAGGACTTCCCAAAAGCTGGGTGGTTGGGGCTAGCAAGGGTAGGGTCATGTAGCTGCTTTGGAAAGACATGCCCCCACCAGGACATGCATATTCAGTCGTGGCTACCTGCTTAGTTGTCCCCTGACTCTTACCTGATGCTCTCCGAAGATCTAGTTTTACTCTAAGAAGAAGCGACCCTCTGGCCATGGGCCAAATGTGAATCCCACTGCCTGGATTTTGGTCCTGACCTGGGTACTGGCATGATCCAACCCATCTTGCTCTACCCCAACTGCAAGGTTGAAAGGGGCGACCTTCCACACATTAGTAATGCAGGATCCACGCATTTAAACAAAGGTCAGAATCAAGCCTGTAACTTCGCCCACTCACGGCTGTGGCCGTGTCCAGTCCTGAGATGCAGATTCCAATAAAGCAGATATCTCTCCAAGGGGGTGTGGACCAGCAGGAGAATGGCTGCTCCCCTGTACTTGGCTGGTTCACTTTATGACTAGTTGAAGTGAAACGTAGAAATACACAGAGCTAAGACCAGAGCATGATTAGAAAACTCTGGGTTAGATCTGAATAACATGCATGATAATTCCTAGTCTGTTCCAAGCAGCTTGTACTTCAACGTCTTGTGCAATTCCGGTCTTTGCAATGAGCCAGGGAACGCCCACCACCAGCATGGAGTTGCATCCAGAGATGACATTGGCCTCTGCACCTCACACCCTTGTTCTTATCTCCCTCCCTCTCTTTCTCCTACATAAGCCCGGGACATTAACCCTGACCCAGTGAGAACGCCCGCCAAGTAGTAGGTCATCAGGTGGGACGCACCTCAGGATGCTGGGGCAACGGGCGGAGGCGTGGGATGGAGACGGGCTCAGGTCTCTTCACAAAGCTGGCCAAGCAGGGGCCCACCTGGCAAGCTACAACACCCACTTCTGTGCGCGTTAATTTCCGAGCAACACTCCCAGCACCCCTTGCTCCTCAACTGGCTGCATGTTCCGGCTGGTTTGGAGGCAGCCTAGTTGCGCTCATCCAGCAAGCGAGCAAGCAAGGAAGGAGCCATACTTACGATCAAGATGAAGGTTCCCAGGAGTTCTGCCAGCCCTTCCTTCAGCAAATTGTTCTTCAGGGCAAACTTTTCTCTCAGGCTCTTTCCTGCTTTCTTTGTCATTCTGGCGTCTTCTTCTTGTTTGTTCTGACTCTGAAAATGTGCAGTAAAATTTGCTTTCCTCTTGCTTTTTTTGAACTTTGGCACACTCCCTCATATGTCGAAATGAGAGAGCCAGAGAGCCCCACAGCAGCTCTTGCAATCACCCGCCCAGGCTGGGGATTTCTGGGGCCCCCTGCCCTCCCTGCCCATTCCTCAAGAGTGCCCATCATGTGCCTGCCCTCCTGGCATGCGGCCGTGCGCTATTTATAGCAGGCCGGGAGATAATGCAGGGCAGCCCCCACTTGCTGCCAACCAACTTTTCTCCTTCGGGTTCCTGCTGATTGGACACATCACACACACACACACGCGTGCGTGCACGCACACACACACACCCCGGATTGAGATCCAGCCCCAAATAAAAACCTGTGAAGGTGCAGGAGAGAATGAAGAATGAAGAAAGGCAACACTCTCTTATATAACCCGTGAGAGGCCAGCTGTGCGATTGGCGGGTGCTGAAGTGCCCTCAGGAAGAGCCTTTCCCAGGAAGGCTGCCAAGAGGTGTGTTCAGCCGGCATGCCGGGCTCACACCTGAGCTGCGGGGTTCCACGCCCGGCTTTGGGGGCGCCGGCTGTCTCCGCACGCCCAGGTGAGTTCCAGGGCTTGGAGGAGTAGGCCCTGGGGCCCTTTTCTCCTTATGCATCTTCTCTAGCCCAGCAGAGGCCGATTCTCGGCCCCGAGTTTGTATGGTTCCCTTAACTAACAGCCATTGCCATGTCTTGTGGCCATGAGTTCTAGCAGTTAATTCTGGGTTGCATTATCTTTTTTCATTCCTGAATCTCCTCCCAATGGTTTCGTCAACTATGCCTGCAGTCTCGTTCTGGAGAAGGGGAGGAAGCCACGTTCTCTCCATTGTCCTCATGGCAAACATGGTTTTGTAACTTCTTTGCTTGGCATTGATTTTTCTTGGCTAAGTAAACAGCTCTCGAAATTGAACTTCTCTTCACTAGGAAGGCAAGCAAATGAGTCTTTGCAGCTTCCCTGTTTTCCTCCTCTCCAGCCCTACAACTGAAGCAACCCTAATTGCGTGTGGGGTTCAGAGGCAAGTCTGCTATCCCTTTACAGGAGAGCAGGATTTTACTCAGCCCTTTCCTCACAAGGGGTCAGAGCCTGGCGATGGTCCAGCTCAAGGACCAGAGGGTTCCCAATGGCCTGTCTGGTGGCTAAAAGGCTGAATTTCAAGCGGAAAATGAGAAATTTCCTCTGAGAGCCCCACCTTGGCAGCTGGGAGTAGGAGTGGCCTCCGAGAAGCAGCCGGCCAAAGGCTTCACGGGCTGGATTTGCTGCCTCGGCAGCAGCTTTGCAACCCGAGCCGTCTTGGTGCAGCTCGCAAGCACGTCCTGGATGTCTAGTTGAAGACTCCACCTTCCATGCACTCCCACCCGAAGCATTGCAGGAATCACCCCGCACAATTGGCCTGAAAGGGGAGTTCAGGTTGGATTTTATTTTTTCATTCTTTCCACCTCACCTTTACCATGGCACTCAAGATGGTGCATCTTGAATTGATTCCAGCCAGCTTCCCTTCCAGCCCTCTCTAAACTGAGACCCAGCTTAGCTGCTGGAGGACCTTGTAGGCATCCCAAGCTTCCTGCACATCTAATGTTAGGCCACCAACAGAAAAATAAAAAATGCTTAAGAAGTTGATTAGAAAGATCTTTAAAATCAGCTGGATTCTTGACTTACTTCACAAAGCTGATTTTTTTCCTTCCCTTCTTCGTGGTTTGCACACACATTCCTCTTATGGTTGGAAGTCTCCAGGTGAGCATTTGTAGGAACCAGAAGCTCCAGGAGGGAGGGAAGGGCTGGGGTGCAGCTTCCCCAGCACAAGTAGTGGAATGTGGGAAAGGCCTTGGGGGACTGGGCCAAGAGCCGCTGCCCAGGGAGCCGGAACCCAGCCGGGGAGTGGGCGGGCAAGAGGCTCAGAAGGGACCTCCCGAGAGTTTCTCCGGTGATCGCGGAGATGGGGGGAGGGCGTAGAATTGCACTTCCAGACTTGCAAGATTCTGTCAATGCAGCGCTACAATAAAGTAGAATTAGCTCATCTGGTCGTGTTTCCTTCTGGTTTCTGTCTCGTGAGGCCAACAGTAAGTCCCTGAAGAGAGACTCAAGGAAGGGCCACGGTTTGGGCCTCGACCAGCCTACTGATGCCTGGGCACTAGCAAGACGTAGCCTGGTGCCAAGAGCGGCAACCCCTTAAGGCCGGGAATTCTGCTTACGCCCCCTCCTCCCGCGCTGCCTTGCTGCACGTGCAACATTCAGGCTGGGAAAGGCCACGGATAGCCCCGTCTCCGGGGCGAGGCACGTCTCCCCTGGCCTCGCTGAAGGGCTACCTGACTGACCTCTCTGGCTGCCAGATTAGCGACCAGCCCGTCCTCACTTGCAACCCTGAGCGTGATCAGCAGCAACCAGTGCTGGGGTTTTGAACTCTGGCAACCCTACCCAGTGCTGCCACTGCACTTCCACCTGATCAGGAAGGGGCCGTGCCAGACGCGTGGTGTGCCCAGCTGAGGTGCCATTCCTGTGCCAGAGCTCCCTCCTCCACCAGCCATCCCCCGTCCGGACCTTCCTCCGCCACCCTTTCTGGGCCAGGCAGCCTCTTGACGGGGCCCTGCTGCGTTTCCAGCCCGGGTGAGGCCAGGAGGGGCTGGCGAGGCATGGCCCCCCCAGGCCAGACCCGCCACTCGGGATGCCCCCCCTTTCCAGGCAGAGAGGGCATCTGCCGTGCCCTGCCGCACTTGGGAGTTTCGCTTCCTCTTTCTGCGCGCGGGGCGGGAGTGCAGGGCCTGCGGAGGGCTTTAATTGCCTCTGTTTTTTGGGACCGAAGGTAGATATCGCTTAGGGAGGTTGTTCTGTTTGCTCCATTGTTATCTGCCATAGGTTACTGGGCTGTGGTAAAAGGAAGGGAGCTATAGGGGACGAAGGAAACGACTAAGCATCCTGTGCACGAGGCCGCCCTGCCCCGCCTCGCCCCCAGAGTTTTCCCACCTGCAACTGCTTCCACCTCTTTCCTTCCTGGAAGGGCAATTCTACTGCCCGGGCCAGTGGCCAGATGCTGCCTCGTGCCCGGGCGCTCCCCGAGTCCCAGCCGCTGCCGCAGGGCAGACTCGCTCCTTTCCTGCCCCCTCCCCCGGCCCGGCCCCGGGCAGAGAGGGGCTCTCTTTTTGTCCCACCTGCCTGGGGGGGCAGGCCCTGCTAGCCCCTGCCCTTGGTGGCGCAAGCGGTGTTGGCTGAGCTCAGCCCTTCCTCCTTCCGGGGCTGGAAGCGGGGCTTGCCTCGCCTTGCGTTGCCAGCCTGACTCCCTTCACCCAGGCTCCATGTTCATCACGCTATAATGACTCTATTAATTGAATATGTAACTTTGCCTAATTAGACAAAAGACTTATTTCCTCAGTTTAAAGGGTAAAAATAAAAAATTTAAGCGGGAGAACAAGATGGAGCATTAGCAATGATGGATGGGGGATGGGGAAATGGAATATTCCAGCATGAACGTCGTTAATGGCATCTGTTCATTAGGCAGCGTCCATTAGCAAAAAGGTCATTCCATTTTCAGGTTTGATGCATTTCTCTGAGTGTAAATTTGAGAGGGGGAAATCATGTGAGTGGGGAGGCAGAAGAAGAGCTGAAAATGAGGGAAGCAGCAATGCATCGCAAAAGCAGCAGTGTGGCCGTGGGCGTGGCCGTGGCGCGTGCCGGCTCACCCGTAGGCAGTGAAGGTCCTCCTCGGGCCTATGTCCCCTCCTCCCACTCCACCCCACCCCACCCGAGGGCAACAGGAGGGAGCGCAGGGCCTTCTCGGCTCCGGCTCCGGCCTCTCAAGATCTGCTTCCGATGACGCTCCTTCCACCTTTGGAAGACCAGTGTCTGAGAAGGAGGGACGCTCGGGGAAGCTCACTTTCCCCGGCAAGGAGAGCTCACTTGACGTGGCTGCATCCTGGCTTGGAACCGGTGGGTCCCCAGACAGGCGTTCCCCGAATTCTTCATCTGCTGTCCTTGATGGGTTTGCCTTTCTTGCACACGCCCTTCGCGGGGAGAAGCAGCGCAGAGCGGAAGCCAACATGCGCAGCTGCAGAGGGCCTCCTTGCTGCCCGTTGAGGTCCGGAAGGCGCAGTTCACGTGTGGAACACCCATCAGAACACGCCATGGGGGCCACTGACTGAAATGATTCTAACTGGGCTTCAGAGGCTCTGGTGGAGGAGGAGCGGGGGGCTAAAGCAGCCTCCGGGCTGGCCCTTGACCTTTCGGGGGGCCGGGAGAGGGCCCGGGGAGTCTTGGCCTTGCCTGGCTGCAGAACGACAGCCATGCCGGTGAGCGGGCGGCAGGGGGAGGAGAGGAGGACACTGGAGCCGAAGGCCTCCCTCGGCACCCCTCCAGGGCCGAGGCAGGACCCTGCGGCGCCAGCTCCTTCTCCCCGCTTTCTCAGAAGCCCGCGGTGCAAACCGGGGCGCCCTCTGAGGCTGAAGCCCCG